CATTATGTTCGGTAAAGCATGCAAAAACTTGATTAGTCTGAATAAAATGAAATGTATGCGATTCTAAAAACTATGTCTTCCCATTATTTGGTTTAATTAAAGGGAATTTTAGTCTAAATCCAAACTGTAAATTAAAGCTTGTCCATAAGCTTGCAAAAAATCTGTGATTTATTTATATGTGCAAAATCCTAATTATTTCACACAGCATTGTTCAAAGGGTCTTTCTGTGAGACCAGTCTCATTTTAATCTTAACAGCATAAGAGCCTATTTACAGTTCTTCCTACTCTAGAAGAGGATTTAAAAACCTTGTGTCCCAACCAGCCGCACTGTAATTTCCAACATTTAATTAGAAAATAGATGAGATCACTTTATTTAAACTGGTACTTGAAGTAAGCAATTAAGTGCTTCACTTAATAGGAGTGTGTGCTGTAAATCTGGCCTTTCATTACATGTACAGTCCCTCACACAATAGGTTTCTAGTACCAGAAAGAAGCTTGCAGGCATTGCTTAAATAAAAATATGCTATTTAGGAATATTATGATGTATTTCCACTGCCTCTGGGGGACTTATCGTGATACAGCCTATTATGTGTCCTTATTACATAGAAGTAAGTATGCAATTAATTGGCAATCTGTAGTGGATTATGGAAACATTCCAGATGGATAGGGGTTTATCACAGTATTTTGCAGCAGCAGCTACTGTAATTTCCTCCGTTTGGGACACTGAATTCACAAGAGTTTATTTCTTTGTCAGGTAGGTCTTCTGAGCAAGAATTCCCATTTCCTTTAACATCAGAGGCAAGATGCAGCACAAAGCACCCGTGAGATAACACGGAGTTGCTTTGGCAGACTGTCTTTGTGCTCAGACACAATGGGATGTGTGGGCTGCACCTCCCTTAAGAAATGAAAATGCAATCAATTGACTCGGTTAATATTTTGCTCTGTGGGAAAACCTGCATTAGACAGTCTGGAGTTCCATTAATCCGTGGCATTGCATAAGCTGTGGCAGCCTCAGCAAGAGAAAGCCCTTTGTGGTTTGCACTTGGGCTGAGGGGGTGGTTGTTCACCTTTCCAGCCTTGCATTCCACTGCCCTTGCGGTTGGGGAATGCACAAAAAACTGGGATGGCCTATCTGGAGCTGCCACAGGTGGCTCCAATGTCACCGGGGTCATGGGGAGGGAGAGCTCACCTGGAAGCTGCATCCAGACAACATCCAGGAGACCAGCAGACCTTGGCAATGCATCACAGACCAGGGTGGGGGTCTGGAACACTCCTCTCTCTCTTTTTGTTCTTTAAGATATTCAAATAAGATGTAATTGTGCTCAGATCTCATCTGTGTAGTCTTTTGCTTTAGGGAGACAGATCTTTAGGGAAACTTAGGGAGTAAGGAGAGCTCCTTCTGCCCTTGATTTTTACAGCCACTGGGAAACCCCAGAGCATGAGCTCCTGTTGTGGTGCAGTGACTGTGCAGCAAACAGAGGGAGAGACCACAGGAATAACCCTCCTGTTGTATTACCCTTTAGGCAAATTCATACAGTTCCCTTTCTATAGTGGCAGTAAATCTCATTGTTCATTAGGCTGCCTAGGTTGGTGTAGATAAAAAATCCCCTTCACACAGCAGTCGTGTTATGCTCTTATTCCATGGTCTCAAGACTTCTGTTTTCTCCCCTCACCATGAACACACAAGAAAGCTGCTAAAATACGTGGATGAGAGTTATATTCTTGTTTGTCTGGGTATCCAGTTGCCTAAGAGTGAACAGCTTACAGCTTTTTCTATGCACTCAGCAAGTATCAAAATTCTTGTAAAGGTCTATAAGTGCATATTTGCATAGACCACAGTTCAGCCAAGTAACCCAATCCTCATGTGAACTTCATGCCCTGCTGTAGGAATTTTCACTTTAATGTAACTTAAGATATGCATCTGACTGCAAAATAAAATAACTTTTTTTTTCTTCCAGCTATACCTAAGCCTTCTGATTCCCCCTCCTCTTTGGCATTTTCAGGCTGTTAATTGCCCCCTCTACATTTTCATCAGCAGACCCCCACACATCCAGTGAATCTCCAGATTGCTTTTGCCATGTGTTAGGATTAATAATTAATGAAGCCAGCTGATTGTTCCAATGACCCATTATCATGTCAGGGCAGAGATGAACTAGAGAGAAGACAGGATTCATTTCTGAACCTCCAATTCCAGTATCAAAGCTCAAAATCAAAACACCGTCAGCATCAGAAATATATTTCCCTCAAGAGATCTGTTTTTGGTTTTGGTTTTTTTTTTCTGTGGCATTTCTCAGGGCTTTTCTGACATTTAATTCTTATCCAGGCATTTAAAAATAATCAAGAAGAGAAAAAGAATGGGAAAGGGAAACACACATTAGCATGAAAGATTAAGGGAAGTGAATATGTATAGGACACATAAAAGGCTAAAATGGTGGCATACAATGGGATGCCACAGAGCAGAGTGGGAGGGCTTCTGTTCATTAAGTGTTGATATAGTGGATTTAAATAAAATTGAATAAAATCCAATTTAAACACTAGAATAAAAAGACTTGAATGATCAGCCCCGGAACAGAATGGATTTGTGTCCCTCAGAGGTCAGATCAATGCCTGGCCAACAGCAGCTGCAGATGGTCTGACAGCAGAAGCCTGCAAAAACAAAAACTTACAGGGCTAGATCAAGTCTGGTGATTCTTTTTAACCCAACTCTTTGCTGTTCCTCTAACATAAGATTTATCTCTAGCACAAAAAAAGTACCCAGCACAGGTGTCTTAACAGAGCTGGTGTCTTATTAATTTTCATCAAGTCTCACATTATGTTAGCCTCGATGTGCATAATCCTAAGACAGTACTATTCAATTTTACAAGAATAATTGATACTTCAGCAAGCAGACAGTAAATTCTCCTGCTGAGAAAAAGCAAACAAACAAATAAATGACAGCTCGTAAATTTATTTCAAGTCATGAGCAAAGCTTTACTGGAGATAGCACTGCACAGCTTATTATCAGCCTGCTGTTAATGGAGGGCTCCCTGCTTTGAGATTATTTAAGGATGACTAACTCATGTTACATTTATTTCCTCTAAACTTGCTCTGGGCTACATGAAAAGCAGGAATCAATTAACTATTTGGAGGAACTTTCAGGCAGTACTACAAACAACATTTAGGATTTCAGCACAATACTCTTGTGTGGTACAATATCACATGAAATGAGGACAAACCCAAACAAGTAAAAATTGTGTGGGTTTTTTTTTTTTTTTCCACTGTCCTGGGTTATAAATCCACTGAAGTGTTTTAAGTGTGAGAGCATTTTAGAGAAGGAAATGTTGATATCTGAGAAGTTAACAGCACACAGTGGAATTGCATAGGTTTCACTGTTTTCTAATGTGTCTTCACCACTCTTACAATTAACCTTTACAGAATGCAAGAGCTTTCTTTAGAGTCATCCTACTGCCACAGGATCAGTACTTTTTCCAGCAAATGACTCACTTTTTAGTGCCCTCCATGCCTTGGTAGGGCACAGAAGACAAGGGTGCTCATATTGTCTCTAGCTGGCTGCACAGCTGAGATTGTGCTGCTGTGACTTCATTGTCCCCAAGGGACTGGCTGTTAGGGCAGGATGGTTTAGTCATGACAGAAGGGAGAACCTGTGGTTATTTAAGGCAATCACTGAATCACTTCTGTGTTGTGCCTGATATTGATTCACTCTGAACTGTGCTTGGCTTTCAGTGATAATCTCATCCTACCACGAGATGTGTCAGGGACTGCACAGGTAGGGACTGTGCTTTGTTTGGGATTAACAGTCCAGCCTCTGATGTAAATCACTGACAGGTTACAACAGTGTGGATAAAACCTGCCTAAATGAGATATTCCTGCCCTTCTGTCTTAATGCAGAATACCTGACCTACACCTGAATCTTCTGCTCCAAAAGATGGGCTGGGAGCTCCAGCATTAGGATTAAGCACCGAGAACAATCCTGTACTAGTTTAAGGAACAGCTTTATCATGCTGCTCCCACCTCAAGTGCAAATGAGATTATAATGCCATACAATGATACCTTAGACACTATGGTTCCATAATATCTTTCACTCACAGAAATTAAGAAAAACTCTATGACAAGCTGAAGAGAGTCATTTCATCTGCAACCTTAGTGGATGACACATTTGAAGGTGCTTATTACCCAAAAGGATGTAGGTACGTTGTGCTTCTTCTCTGCAGGAAAAAGGAACAAAGACCCTCTCCAGGGATTTTCTGAGGAGTTTGCAAAAACCACCTTTTTATCATTTTAGAACAGCAATTACTAAACCACTTTAGCCATGGAGTAGCAGCAGCTGTCTATCTTCGTTTTTCCTGGAAATGTTAAAAGTGAAAAAACCCACTAGAAAGATCCTTGCAAAGCAGTTATGGATTATTTATGGTGCCTTTAGTACCCAGAGTCTCAAATGCACTGTTCCACATTGAAGGAATATGGTTTATCTGTGAGTGATCTACGAAAGAGAGAGTCCCAGCAGTCCAGTACTGTAAACGGGATGTACTGAGGGAAAAAATAGAGATAGTGAGAGTGTATTTCAAATAATACAGTGCATTCAGTACTAATTTATCTACAGAGTTAAAATGCAAACAGACTGGTGAGATCCTCTGGTTATTTTGCCATGTGCCAGCACAGTGCTATTCAGGGCTACCAGATCAGTTTGTTAAAAGTTTCTGATTTCAGGTCTGCTCATTTTCCTTCAAGGCAACTATTTTTCTTGCCCATTGCACTGCTACTGGAAGGGGACAGAAACTCTTCCCACCCAAGATGAAGCAGAGGGAAGAAATAGCCTCAAAAATCAAGCTTGTTGTCATGGAAACCAGAACCAGGATTTTCAAGGCCAAAATGGATGCATTTATAAATCAGAGATGAGGGAAATCCTATAAGAATACATGAAATGGAAAATGTCTTTATTATAGGAAGTCAGATCTATAGTAGCTCAACAAATGCTGCAGTGTAAAGCAGTATGGGAGTGATTTCTATAACACAGTATGATCTCATCAGAGCCAATGGTTGGTGTGTTGGAGAGAAAGGCAGCAGTAGCCATAGAAACACCCAGCTCTTCCCAAGTGGAATAAGATATCGTGTAACACCCAGTTTTGGTGGTGGCCTCACACTCCTGCCAGATTTGTGGCTGCTTTTGAGTGCAAAGTGGTTTTTTGATGCACCTCAAGCCACAGGAATCAGTTTTATTCTGTGCGACTCCACTGCTTGGCAGGTACCTGAGCTCTGAAAGGAGGGACCTAAGGGAGAGGGGTCCTTCTGCAGGATGGGAATAAAAGGTGGTTTCAGGGGAACTTGTAACAACAATGCTGTTACTTCTCCTCCCTGTGTTGTTGGAAAGCATGTTGCTACAGCAGTTGAGTAAAATCAGGGCCATTACACCCTGCACTCTTGCAGGATTTGTATGGAGAGATGTACAACCAACCTGCCTGAGGCCACAGAGCAAGACAAGGACAGACCTTGGGAAAAAAAAGTGGTTTTTTTTTTTTCATTTTTCACTCCCAACCAATCACACAGAGCATTTTGTCACTTCACCTTCTTTTCCCCACCACCCTGAATCTCCCCTTCCCCACATCAGCTGCCAGCACAGCCCAACCTAAAGGCAGAGCTTGCTTTGGACTCTGATCTGTCACGTATCTCCTGTTTAGTGTTGGAAATCACTGCTTTAAACTGCAACTTGAGCCTTCTCTGGGGACACACTCTCTGAGTCACCTCCAGTAGCAAATGACTTACAGGCAGCCCTTCAAAGCTGTCACAGCTCTCTGCTGTGATCTTGATCTCACTGGTACCTTACTCAGGATAAAAGCATGTTATCCCCTGGCTTGTTTGTAATGCATAATTGGACCCAAGCTGTAAAGGAGCCAGTCTGACCTTTAACAGCTCATTGTGCTGTGCAGAATAGTTGGGTTTGCAGTTTAAGACTATTTGTTCTTAATGATGGTTTCACTCTTATGAGATAAAGCACAACTTGAAAACAGAAAATAAAGAGAAAGTCGCTGTGTTTTGCTCTGGAGAGCAGCTGTGGGAAACACATCTGCCACACTTGTTTTATGAAGGTACTGGACCTGTCCCACACATGGGGTAAACACTGAAATGGAAGCAATTTACTGCCCTAACTTCCTTCCACATCTTATGGCTCCAGCAGGCAGCACAGCTGGATCCCACAGGAAGCTGTTTGATCCCACAGAAAGCTGCTGGATCACATCAGAAGCTGCTCCAGAACCTGGCATGTACAGCCTGAAGTTTTGATAAAAAAACCCTGCAACTGATTGGAGTAATTTGGAAATGCTGAGAGGTACAGGGACATGACTGCACACTACATATGGTGTATGTACATATATATACACCCCTGGGAATGGCACGAGGCAGGAACAGCTTCCTCCCTCACACTTTGATCCAGTGTCTCACCTTTTCCAGGATACTCCTGGAGCAGAGATCCCAACACTGAGCAGGCAGCAACAACTGGGTGCTCCCACAATCTGCACTGGTTTGGGAAGTATTGCTTTGGGCAATAACCACCCTGTTGTGGGCACTCGTTTACTCCAGGTAAGCCAAAGACTTTGGACTCTGATAGACACACTCCACACCTGGAAAGAAATATGGGAAGCAGTCAAAAAGATGAGCTACGGTGGCAAATAAACTGTACAGCACAAAAAGAGAGTGAATAGATAAAATCCAGGCCAGGTGGTGGGAAAAGGAGCTGTACATAACAATTAAACCGGTGCAATGTTACTTACTTACACAAATACCTGAAACAGCAAGAAATTTATTAGTTTACTTAATGGCTCTTAAAATCATGCAAGCCATGATCATGTTTCCATCACTTATTTTCAAAACCTAAGAGTTTTCCATACAACAGAGGACAAAACACTGGTTTCTTGTTACGTGGTGGGTGTTTAAATATTGTACACTGCCAAGAAACACAGCTGCCCTGTTGAAAAGACTTCCTTCACTGGTAACTACAAATCTAAGATGTTCTAAAGGGTTCTCTCCCACTGTTTGGAGGAAGAAAAAGAGTCTGCATGTGTTAAAGAGTTGAACAAGGGTGAAAATGAGCTCAGGAACGTTACCAAGGTTTTCCCATCTCCTACTCAAACTCTTTTTTTGTTTGTCAGACACAGTGCTCTAAAATGGTTTTGATTTTTTGCCCTGTATTTCCACCTTTTTCTCTCTGCTGGCTTTAACACTTCCCAGGTTTTGGTTTGATAGACCAAGCAGTCTGAGCACAAGGCCACAGTTGTGAGAGCACACTGTGAGGTGATTTGTGTTCACATCCAGCTCAGAAAAACTGGGCCACAGTGCTACTGTGTGTAGTGTTACCTACGTTACAATTGAAATAGCTGAAATGCAGGCTGTTCTCTGAGGAAATGAGACCTTCTGTTTCCACCCAGAGCAAAAGGATCCTCTGCTTTCCATCCTGAAGAACTATATATGGAAACAACTCGTTATGCATCATCAGGCTTTATGGAAAACTTCCTTATTAGAACAAATATCCTGAGCAAATTCTAAAATTCCTCCATGGAAAGCAGCCTTTAAAAAAAGCCAAACCAAAAACGAAAACAAAGCCAACAAAAACCCAAACCAACAAAATTAAACCAAACCAACCAAACAAACAAAAAAAGAAACAAACTCAAGGACTACTGATGTTCAGTGAGAGGCAGAATTCTATCATTTGACTCCTTTATTCATTACAGACTTGCTCTACTCCTCTGCAGTTTTCACTAAACACAGATTGCAAACCTTTACAAACAATACAAAGAGTTAGGTAATGCAGTGAGTAATCTGGCCTGTTTAATTCAAACTAGGACTGGGCTAAGCAGAAAATAAACAGAAGTGGTTGTGTAGAGCTTCTGAGGATCACAGGTTGCATATTTCATGGAGAAGGTTCTCTTGTTAAGGACTATTTACCTTGTTCAAATAGTTCTAGTTTATATGAAGTTTATAGCAGATGGTTCCTTAAAGTGAAAGATCTCCCAATGCCAACCTGGGCCATAGGTTTTGTTATGAAATGATAAGAGCCATATATCAAATCATATAAAAAGTGTGTTAAAATGGCCAATACAGACATCCCCAAATGTCATCCAGTTATCGCTGGATGCACCAGGAACTCTCTCTCTGTTTTGGCATGTACAGAGCAGCACAAACCTGACACTTGGGGCACATGAAGGCCTTACAGCTCCCCCCTTCCAACCTGCAGAGGTGGAGAGGACTTCAGCTGTGCAGCCTAAATTCTCTGTGCCAAGTCAATCCCCTTCAGTCAGAAGTAGATGGATATTCTTCCAGTTTGATGAACAATCACATTTCTCAGTGGCATGAACAATGACAATAGCATGCACAGCAGGAGCAGCAATACAAACAGCTGTACTGCTTGTGCTGTATCTTGTGAACATCCGACCCAAAAGAGATCCTCTCATATTTCAGATGCCCAGCACTTCCTATATCCAGTAAACTGAAAGAAAGCTGACTTGGAAAAGACATTGGAATCAGCTTTTTCTTTGTGTAAATACCTTCTAAGAACAAAGTCAGTCCTAGTCCCTCATTTTTGATTGTTAAACTCTATATGTATCTAGGCTAGCTGGTAATTTGCGGTGTTTTTTATGAAGGAAATCTGCATAAGAAAAGGATAATGTCTTCCTCCTAATTCTCTCAAAGTGGAAGAAAAAAAAAGTATCTCTTCTCCACCTAGTCTTCCCATGTAACAGCTTGAATCATAGAACCATAGAGGATGGAAAGGATCCCTGGATCCAACCCCCACTCAAAATGCTCCAGTATTTCAAGGAGGACAAGGCCAGGGCAGTCTAGGAGAGCTTCAAATTCATATTCCCCCCTCACTGTGGGTCGTGCATTTCTTCCAGTCATCAGGATCTAGTCCACAGCCCAGAGCAATGTTTATGACCTACAGGCACACAAGACATGCTACAATTTAGTTTAGTAAAGTCAGGCATTGCAGTTTTGCTGTAGATGTAGCAGCTGCATCTTGGTAACAACACATTTCCTCTCAGTTAATAGGCTATGACAGGAGGCTTTTATCCAATCTGTAACTACATTTTCTAAGATGCTGCATATTGTAATCTCTACCCATAATCATACACTCATAGAATGGTTTGGAGGGGACCATAACGGTCATTTAATTCCAACCCCCAATAATCAGATTCATCTCTTCACTGCACTGTTTCTGTCTCCTTTTATAGAAGGGAATTGGTTACTGGCAGGCAGAGGGTTTTGTAAAAGGAAGTACAAAGCCTTGCAAAACCCAGAACTTCCTTTGTGACTACCTAAGAACAGAGAGTCAGACCATTTCTTTTCCCCAAATATGGCAATCCCACAGAACCCCAAAGGCAAATCAGGTAAGAAGCTGCAAAGGTAGAGCTGTCCCAGCAGCCAATTAACAGGCAGTGCTGAACAGCATGGATATAAAAGGGCATGAGGGGGAAGGTTTGGACTATACCTTTTAAAGTCAAAAGAATTCTATGCTGAGGTCACACTAGAAGATGATCAGTAGGCTGGGCCTGCAACTAGTTTTATCAAATATCAACATTTTTGCAGGATTTCACAAGCTGTGACTGCAGATGGCTTGTAAAAATACATCATCTACATCAAAACAGGAGACATGGAGCCTAAATGGCATTAAAAAGAGGTGCAGCAACTTTTGTGTTCACTAGACCCTAAAACATGCACAAAGGTCTTTTATAATTTAACTCCCCTGTTTTCAAGAGGTCAAGTTTGACCTCTTTTGCAAGGGCCAGAGTTCAGCAATATAGTGGAACTGAAATGCTGAGTAATAACTGGGAAGTTAAAAGCACCAAATGTGTTTCCTCCATGTGATTTACACTAGTGCTTATCTAGACTACAGCCTGCAAGAGAGTGTTGAAACCTAATGGCTTATTTTGAAGTATAGTCCCAATCTCCCCTTCCCAAAAGGTGAATATGCTCCCAAAAGACCCTGCTGAAAAATGCCACTGATGTGGTCTTACCATTTTTTTGGAGTTCTCTGATGCCTGTGGCTGAGAGGATTGGTGTTCTGCTCAATGTATGTGTGATGTAGCTAATTATAAGCTCTTGGGAACAGAAATCCTCTGTCTCTCTATCTGCACAGTCTTTGGCACAGCAGGGTCCCTTTCTCAGCAGGCCTTCAATAAGAACGCAGTGCAAGGTATGAATCATATCAAAGGTGAATCAGAATGTCTGCATCACTGACGGAGAGGGTAACAACCTTAACATATGTCTGCAAGACTGATGAGCAGCAAAATTTCTCTGTTTTAACTCAAGATAGGAGAAAAAATAATTTAAAAGGAAATAAAAGATAATCTGAATAAAACAGAAGTGCTTGATATAAAGACACAGCTGCTCAGCTCATCATTTACATTCCATTGTTACCTTGCAATAATTTCTTTTAACTGAAGGAGACTTACCTGAAATGAGAGACTTTAACTGATATAAGAATTACTAGGAACTAAGGCCATTTAGATTTTCTATAGTCTTGGCAAACAAATAAACCCAAATCTACTCCCTTTTATGCAAGTCAAAAGTATACAGTCTTTTAAATAAAACAGTTTGTGGGTTTGTTCTTTTTCACTCTGCAAACAAACACAAACCTATCAGTAATTCACAAAATTAGCCACAATTGTTTTTAGAACCCTCTTGTGTTTTCTTCCTCTTTTTTATACACCAGTATATTCTCGAATGCCCTTAAAAGGCATCTTAGTGTATTCTCTCTTTCCTACTGGCAGAAACAAAGCAACTGGAGACACTTGACTAGCTCTGCTGGGCATCTGAGAACACACATGAGGAAGTGACTACTCATTTAAGGAGTGCTGCGAACTGTTGCCCTTATGCACCAGGTTTTAACTTGACTTTATACACTCTTGGTGCAAAAAGACGATGAGAGGGTGTCAATTTGTGACCCGGAAATTCCCCCGCAGCAGGAGCATGATCTGAGCGATTTAGTAGGAGTACCTTGTGGCTTTAAGAGTTAGTTACCCTGCAGTTTACAGCCTGTTGTTACAGGCAGTGACAAAACACCATCGAGTAGCAGCGGGAAGCTCGGTTTAGATTGACAGGCAAGGCAAATAAACCCCCAGTTCACAGAGACTAGAACAAAAGAGGCTAGAGCGGAACATATCTGCAAAACTGGCTGCTTGGAGCTGAGGCAGGCCAGGTACCCTCCAGCAGATTTTGGCTGGTTCTGAGCTCAATAGCTGGAGAAAAAGGTCATGAAGTCATCATATGTTTGTGAAGGTGATACTGGTCAGTCAGTCTCAGTGCAAGGTCGGTTAGACCAGAACCTCTAATCTTGTATTTGCAGACTGAAAGAGATCCTCCAGACACAGCTACAATATGAAACACAACCCTTATACATTAAAAATAATACTATTCTGCAGGAAACAATATGTCCACAGAAATACTTTAAAAATATTAAAATAAGTTAACCTGAATGGGAAAACTTTATTTTTCTTATTCAGTATTCATTTTTCTTCTTATGCGAGCTTTTATCTCTTCACAAGTGCTATCTGTAAACGTGGGAATCTAAACACACTGTCAGCAGTGTCGAAGCCCTCAGTGCAGGCTCCACAGAGAACTTTCTAAACATGTGATGCCATCGTGTGGGCAATTAAGTCTCCAGCAGTTTCCAGATGAACTTCGCTGAATTTCATAGAATCCTAGAATGGTTTGGGTTGGAAGGGACCTTAAAATGATCATTCCATCCCTGCCGTGGGCAGAGACACCTTCCACTAGCCCAGATTGTGCTCATATTACATGAACATCCCATTAATTCCCTCACTTTTACTTGCTATGTCCTCACCCTGCTGATACAAGCTGGGTAACTCCTGAGCCTCTAGTGGTGACTGTAATAAATCGAAATCTGTATCCACTGGTTCAAACGTGGTCACCTTGGAATTATGGTTAATGTGTTTCTCTCCTGGCAACAAAAAGAATATTTTACATGTTTTTATGAAGTTTTGCATCCATGAAGATTAAAAAAAAAAAACCCAAACCAAACCCAAATAACCCGAGTATTTTTAGAACTTACCTTTATCAATAGTTTTACTCATTTTTGCAAAAGAACAAAACAGTGGGAGCTCTGCCATGGTTACTACAGATAGAATCACAGAATGGTTTTGTTTGGGAGGGACCTTAAAGCTCATCTTGTTCCAACCCCCTGCCAAGGGCAGGGCCACCTTCCACTAGACCAGGTTGCTCCAAGCCCTATCCAACCTGGCCTTGAAAACTTCCAGGAATGGAGCATTAACTACTTCTCTGGACAACTCTTTATTTACTTATTTTTAAAAATTTTTCCTTCGTTTGTACCTATAAAGGAACATGGAAGATTTCTGTTGAAACTACACCAGTCAGACTATAACTAAAAGTTAAATGCCAAAGCTGATAACCTATCCCAGGAACTCAGGAACTCAACAGCAGTTTCGTGGGAATCTTCACATCTTACCCCTGGCTGGAGGTAGGAGGTGGCTTCAGACCGAGCTTGGGCTGCAAGGAAAACTGGAGTCAGACAAAGCACAGTTGATTGAAGTGTCACTGCTATGAAGGCAAAGGCCTTGGTATGTTACCCAAAACCCTTGGCTGAAAGTACAAGCAGAATGTTGCCGAGTAATGTAAGTGAGATAGAAAATTGTTAACCTGAAAAAAAGTGAATTCTGGGACCAGTTTTGCGACCACTTCGGTTTTAATTTTTCTCACAGGTATTCACATCTGACTGAAGTGCAGGGCCGATCTCTAAGCACAGTCCCTGTGACCTTGCTCTAGTCCCTCAGCCCTTGTACAGCCTTTTAACCCCTCAGCCTCAGACTAGCCTGATTTTGCCAGTCAGAAGTTTAACCTATTCATTGAGAAATTGTTGTGTTTTCCCTCCACTCCCCGTTGCCATTGAAATCCACCAGCCCCTGAATGTTTACCCTGAAAATGACCTCTGTGTGTGTGTGTGTACATCACACACAGCCTTTTCCTTCCCCAAAGCCAAGAGCTGTTTCCAGCACAGATCAGGCAGCACCTTCTCCCACAGATCTTCCCGGGATAATTTTTGGGATGGTTTTTAAAACACTTTAGCACAGGCCACTCCGGCACCTCAGCTCTGACAGGGGCTGCTGAGAGGGGTTGGTCGCTCTGTCCCGGCTACAGCTCTGAATTTTTATTTTTATTTTTGAAAAACGTTTTAGGGCCAGGGCAGCTCAGGGAGAAGGGTCTCCTCAAGGAAAAGGGTCTCCTCAGGGAGCAGAGTTCCCTCAAAAAGGAGGGTCCCTGCAGGGTAAAGGGTCCCCTCAGGGACAAACAACGCCTCAGGGAGGAAGGTTCCCTCAGGGAGAAGGGTCTCCTCGGGGAGAAAGGCTGTCTCAGGAAAGAGGGTTCTGGTTCTGTCAGGGAGAAGATTTCCCTCAAAGAGGAGGGCTCCTCAAGGAGGAGGATCCCTTGAGGGCGAAGGATGTCCTCTGGGAGAAGGGGCCGCCGCGGTCTCCGGAGCTCTCAGGCCGCCTCCTCACAGCGCCCTGCACAGCGGGCTGCGCCCCCCTCTCCCCTCGGGTTCGCGGTGCCGAATGCCCCGCTGTCCCGCTCCCTCCCTTTCCTGCCCGCCTCCATGCTTTCCATCCGTCCCTGCCTCCCTCCCCTCCACCGGAGGGGCGGTTCTATCGGCCGCGCTCCGCCCCGGCCGGGCGGGCTGAGGCGCTGGATGGCGCCGGGCCCGGTGTGACGGTGCCGGGGGCGGAGAGGGGCCGGGGGAGCCCTGCCGGTAAGCGGAGAGGTCTGTCAGGGTGGGGGTCTCGCCTCAGGGCTGCCTCGTCACCGGGATGGGGTCGGACACACTCACGCACACACACACATAGGGGAGGGATGGGCTGAGCCCACCGGGAAATGAACCTTTCAAGGACCCTCTCTTTCTCCAGCGGTTCGCTGCTTTAAATTAATCATCACGGTCTCCATGGTTTTCGTTCACTCTTCGGTGTTTACCCCACTATCGAAATTTTCCTCACGGGCAAACAGGGCTTTAGGCCTGAAGGTGAGGCTGCCCAACCCGGCCTCTTTGTGTGCGGTAAACAAAGCATCAGCTGGCAATAAAAATACTGCATTAGGCTCAACGCTGTGTCCTTCTGGGGAGGCTGAAGGGCTGTGTGGTGGGCTTGTCTGCAGAAAGGGATTCCCGTGGAGCTGGGAACCGCAAACCAAAACACAGCTGTCAGGAAGGGCATGGAATCTGCAGAAGGAAAACTACAGAAGGATGTTTTATTCCACATCTTACCTTTACACTGTCACCCCAGACATGTGTCTGCCCCAGACAGATGGGAAGGCCATTGGCAGTGATGACTGTCACTGTGGGCATGGTGGAATTTGGGATTTCGGGCCCTGCTGGGGCACTGTTAGGTCTGTGCTGTGCTGCTCCAGGCGGAAAGCCAGAGCTCATGGCCCACACAACACTAAAAATTAAATCTCCATAGTGCAGGTGAATCCTGGGACAGTGAGAGAAACCATAGTTGTATCATTAAATGTGTAAAGCAAACAAGGGAACACCATACCAACCCTCCCCGCTGCCAACCTTAATTCTGTGGGTACCAACTCTCAATGATTTATTGACTTCACATGAATCTGTGTGTTTTTAATGGGTCTTGAGTTGTTCCTAAATGTTGTTGTTACTTTGTTTCAAAATATTTTTGTATTGCGTCCTTAGAAAAAAACACTCTCGTCATTTTCAGAGGCTTTTCCCTGATGCTGTTTTAGTGCCACATCATATTGGCAGACGTAGCTTCAGTCCATTAATGCATCAGAATGATGTAGCATAATATGTCATAAATAATCCATAATCAGGCTTTTTCCTTCATGCTAGGGATGTATTGCAGCTGTCAGACTCATGGTCACTTTGTATAAGCTAATTTAACCATTAGATTGTATTGGTTTTTCCATTTGATAGAGACTTGAATGATGTTTGCATTGGTGGACAGGAGGTTTTTAGCAAAGAGCTGTCAGATTGTGAGTTTTTAAAACACAGTTACAGATGTTCTCCAAATTCATTAAGTCTCAGTGAATACAGAGACTAAACACTAGTTTTAATAATTTCCTGGAAGGACAGTAATTTGCTTTTCTTGTTAAAGTTGCACTGGTATGTTAGTCAGTTTGATATGTCTTTTGTGGCCCTTGTGATACTTTTCTGTGTTTGATTTTTTTTTTTTTTTAAATTTTTTTTCCTTTGCTTCAGGTTGAAAAGATGGGAAATGCAGAAAGCAATGCCTATCACAATCATCTTTCCAGATTTCTTCCTGAGGAGCAGACTGACATTGATGGAGTATTTGATACCTTATCAGGATCAAGTGGCTCAGCTGGAGGAAAAAATGCCAAAGCCACAAAGAAAACTCTGACTCTGGCAGCACTACAGGCAAGACAATCTATTGTTCATGATATATCTGGGATGTAGTGCATTGAACAGAATTCCAGAAAGAAATTAAAGGTGTGGCAATAGTTACTTTTAAAGGATTGCTCATCTCAATTTAATACTTAATGTTTTGGGCAGGATGGATTTTAACTTTCTCTTACAGTTTAACATGAGTAGTGAATTTCAGGTCTTTATTTATCTTTTAAATTACACTGTTGGATCCATTTGCAGCTTTCCTGATTCTAAAGTAAATTGGGACATATGGAAATATTTTTACAGCAACCTGAAAAATGGGAAGAATATTTTCCCCCTGGAATGTATAGTGTGGGATTATTTACAGATTTTTTGAGAAGCCGTCACAAAGTCAGTTTGGTTCTGTCTCCCTCAGTGCATCACCACCTCTAATCTCTCCACTTGCACTAAAAGGAGAGAATTCAATTTTGCTTGATTAAGCTGTGGTTCCCTGTTTTAGCTAATTAACATGGAATATGCTTCTGCTTAACTTTGCATTCATTTTCTAATCAAGAAAAGAGAAAAATGATTCATTGAAATAGTTGATAACTTCAGTTAGACAGGAGCTAAGTGGCCAAATGAATGAAGTGGTAAAGTGCATTTTTATATATGTTACACAGCTAATGGGATCAAATTAAAACTCGTTGAAAGCAGCAGGTTATTTTAAGTATTTAGAAGTTGCTCTGCATACAGACCAGCTTTAGCCTTTTGCAGCCTGGCTGTTAATGAGCTGCCACTGGTTTGGAAACAGCATTGCTGCTGCCCAGCTTTTCAGCACTGATTTATCCAAGAACCTATCCTTGGTGTCTGTTACTGGTTTGGGACCTGGAAGAAGTCCTGTTTCCAGCTTTGCCTCTAGATCAGTGTGATGTTTGATGAATATTTGTCTTTTCCCTTCCTGCCTTTTTCTTTGCCAACTTACATTAAAATCTTGGAAGGCTGCCTGGAGGTGCCCAGTTCCTTGGTGCAGGGACAATTCCTGTGGCATTCCTGCCTCGTAGGTGACTCTGCTCATGTCTGGACTAGACTGAGATGTGGCAGGTTTGTTCTAGAAACAGTCTGGTGACACTGATGAGTCCCCAGGCATTACCTCATGGACTCTGCTTAGGCTCCTGCTTTACTAGAAGGAAACTACATGGCTTCTGGGCCAGAGCAGGCTGCACTGCACAGGGAATGGTAGAAGCAGGTAGAGCAGGAATCAAAGATTCTAGGCTGTCAGAAGTGTGAGTCAGTTAGCTGTTTATTAAAGGTTCCTTTTTTACAGATCTCCTTCCTTTGCACCCCAGGTCTACCCTTTGGAGGAGCTAAAAGCAAAACGAGGTGGTGGGCAGGAGAAGGTAGGGAGTAGGTAGGTAACTCAGCAGCGTGAAGTAAAAAGCCCTTGAGTATGAGGTTTTAGTTGTGTTCCCTGCTGCGTCTCCCACTTCAGGCTCATTTAGCACTTTCAGAAAGCCTCTCAAAGGCAGCTGTGCCCCCTGTGACCATCCCTCCCTCAGTATGGAGCACTCTGATGTGAAGGACTGTGGCTGCTA